TGCCTTTTTGAGACACAGTGGGAAGGAAAATGCATTTTCTTCTCAGAAAATGGAAAAGAGGGATTGAATTGTCCTCAGAAAATATATCCGAAGTGTTGCTTCCAGTGCAGATTGAAATCCAATAATTTTAGGGTATATGCAAAAGATGAAGTAGGACTCTGTTGAAAGTAGGTAGACCTATGTATTTACAGAAAGAGACAGTGCTCCTGCTATTGTTGATGTCCATGAAGACTGCAGTAGAGGAAAATTTTAATAAAGAAACAAATATTTGCTTTTAACTGGAGAAAATGCCTGAGGGAAAGTATTCTTTTGTCAGCATTATTGTTTATAATGACATACATAACTCTGATGTTTCCACAATGACCCCTTCATAGTTGGCTTTATTTGATTTCAACATAATGGATGAACAACCATTTTAGAAGACCAAAGACAGTTCATTTCATACCAGCATTTTAAAACCACATGACTTTATAGCCCACAAGTAGACTTGACCTTAGTGGAGTTTATTTCCATTCCCAGATAAGACTACAACCTTTAAGTTATTAATTCTTGCACTTTAAGAGTACCTATATTTGGGTAGATCCTAGCTATGTATTTTTAGAATAAGGCATTCTACAAAGCTAATTGTATAGAATTAATAGTGAGTGGAGCAGAGAAAGACTGTAATCTGTAGTCTGCATAGACATCCTCAATATGTCTTCCAGACTAAATAAGAATAATAGCCCTGTTCTCCATAATTGCCTGGTTTACGAACAATGATAACTAACCCTGTGACAATGCCTATGCTTAAGCCAAATTGGAGGGCCAGGTGTCCAACTCAGTATTGTTTCAGAGAAGACTATAAATGTTGGCAAGCAGTTCAAACTTCAACATACATATTTTTAAAAATGTTTTCAAAGGTTGATTTGATTTTTTTAAAAAATAAATAAATCTGAGTGAAGTATAATTTTGAATATTCAAGAGAATTAATTATTTTAAAACTCTTTCTCCTCTCTTGGGGAAGGGAAGGGAGTCCTGGGAGACTGATAGTGAGCAATCTCCACCAAATGCCATGACAGACAAATGTGATCAAACAGATCATGAGACAAGCATCTCCCATAAATAGGAGAGCTACAGAGGAGAAACGAAAGGGGTTCCTACTTTCTCATTTAGACAACTGACTATCAATGTACTACTGATAATCAACAATTACTGGTAAGGCTGTCCCAACCATTTCCACCAACTTCTGCTTCTAGCTTTAGAGGAACTCCAACTACTTCTGGCTACTTCCCATCACTATAGTTTGGGATCCACATGGAAAAATCTGCTTCCGAATTTCTATGTCTCTTAGCAGCATTGGCCCAGTCCTAGCTGACTTAGAATATTGATTGATACATTGTGGTTGGTGAAGACCATATTTATCCTAAAGCTTGATGAAACTTTAGCAGATTTTTTGGAGATTGGGGACTTAGCTATTCTGAGGGATAGGGCTAACATTTCTCATATTTATTATGGTAGAATTTTCCCTTCTCCTTACATTCTTCCTAACTAGTTATTCAAGAACATGTATAGGATCCCCACCCTCTGACCTGAGTCAACATATTACTCTTCAAGGCAACAATCTACTATATGAAAATCATACCTGCATATGCATGGAAGTTAAATCTGCAACTCAATTCTTATGCCCACTATATTCAATTAGAGATCAGAATGTATAAGCCTATTTAAATTTAAAATTTTCCCAAGATGAAAAGACCATTGTTTTCCTTGTAAATGAAAAATGTTTATGAAGGTCAGTGGAGAAATTGTTTCCATCTGTAGCATTAGTCTATAGAAATTGACTGGTGCCTCTCTCACAGTTTTAATTTACTTGATTTTATGTTAATATTTTGCCTGCATTTTAATTGCTATGTGTGTTTTACTGCATGAGGCCTTTGTTTGAATCATACAACAATAAATAAAAAAACATCAGAACATTAACTCTTTGTCATTATATACATAGAACAAGAAAACCCTCAATACAGTCCTAATTTATACTAATATTTTTTTTAAATTCTTTTTTCTTTTTTTTAAATTTTTCAAACAATTCTTTTCATGAACCTGACCGTGTCTTTGAATGCAGTCAATTTATTAATTCAGCTAATCAAATAGTTGAATTTTATAATCTATGACATGCTTTTTTAAAAAAATATTGACTATATTACAAGTGCATTAATATATTTTAATTATTTTTCAAAGATTAGCCCAGCAAAGATTATTGAAAAAAAGGGTAGCTTGATTTGTTCTCAAGGCAGGAACTACAGCACACAGCTTTGGTGGGTTATTTTCCCCCTGGAAGGCTGCCACAATCCAATCTTACAATAAAGAATTTACAATGCCATATATTTAACAACTGAGAGTTGACAGCATAAGCGGAAGAGCACACGTTCCGGAGATGGAATGGATAGAAACTTGGTGGGAAAATGTCAGGCTGGCTCAACTCTATAGCCCTGTAGTGATGGTAGAAACACCTACTTTTTGAAAATGGCATTAGTTACACCAATATAATGCAGATATACTAATTCACTGATAACCAAGAGCTTACACCAGGTTCTGAATGGAAGCAATAGTGTGCTCTATATAGGATGACTGCTACGTCATTATGTGATCTAAAAAGTTATCGGCCCAATGATACAGACACTTTCTCAGTGATTGTCGTATCAGCTACTGTTCAATCACACAGATCACAGGTTGTTGCAGCAGTTAAAGGTCTAAACCAGAAAGGGCAGTAATCTTAGCTAGTTTGTCATAATGTACAGAATGGTGTTTCAGTTGTTAGAAATTTCTCTTAAATGGCAGAACAGGAGAAACAGTTCTGCCTTTATTCAATGCAGCTGAGCAACAGCATTTTCCTTTAATAGAATCATATTGTGGCATTTAGGTGAAGAGGCATATGTGTTTCCTCGAAAATATATTAATTTTTGCTTCAAAAGACAAATTAGGTCTTATTTTCCAGTTAGGTCTTATTTTCTGGTACTAAATGCATCTGTCTGGCTGACAATTTTAACTGGGGCTTATTTTGGGGGGTAGGGCTTATATTACGTGCATCTGGAAAAATCATGCTAGGGCTTATTTTCCAGTTAAGTCTTATTTTCAGGGAAATAGTGATTGCAAACCAAACCATATTTGGAGGACCACAAACTAGATTGTTTCAAAATCATACATTTGGAACCCTTGGTTTATAGGTTGTTTTGACATCCAATAGCCAAGGTGGGTATATGAGGAGTTTAGCTTTATTTATTTATTTATTTATTTATTTATTTATTTATTATAATATTTATATGCCGCCCTTCTCCCGAAGGACTCGGGGCGGCTCACAGGATAAAAACAACAATAAATATCCAATAAAAATCAGTAAAACCCCCCACAATTAAAATAAAACTCCTAAACAGATCAGGCAATTTGATTAAAAAGCCATGTCTTTAGGTCCTTGCGGAAGGAAGGGAGGTCAGGGGCCGTCCGGAGCTCAATGGGTAGCTCGTTCCAGAGGGTCTGCGTGGCCACAGAGAATGCCCTCATCCTGGGCGCCACCAGCCAGCATTGCCTGGTCGATGGCACCCGTAGGAGGGCAATCCTATGTGCGCACACTGGGCGGTGGGAGGCCGATAGGAGGTGATCCTGCAAGTACCTCGGGTGGAAGAGAAAAGATTGAGACCTTGTCCACCACGGCCAAATGAGGAATGAGCTCCCTGCTAGAGCTCATTGGGAGGAAACTTCTTGCAATAGGCCCAAGATGGCTGATTCTGAGTGAGATTTCAACAAGGACAAAGATTATTCCTTGCACTGGTGCCTCCATCCAGCTTCACTACTGTTTTTTTACAGGAAAGTATCTGTTGTATCAAGTTTTGCTTGGACTCTCATAATGCTCAAGTACTCGCTGAAAGTGAGTTGGGCGGCCATATAAATTTTCTGAAACGAACAAATAAATTGATAAAATTACAGGAGTCAGTTCCAGAATTTGAAAAGCTGTGATTGTGGTTCTCAAAGTCAAAGGAAGACATGAGAGAAAAATCCAACCCTTCCTTGTCATTAGGTAAATAAATAGATCCCCCCCCCCAATCCAGGGATGCTTTAAAAGTGTGTCTGCAACCATCACAATGACAAATGCTTAAATGATACAACTAGGTGGATGATTCTGCATTTAACTAACATTTGCATTTCAAAATGTCTTTATTGTACCACGCAGGCCAGTTGGATTTCATATATTTATTTAATACTGCCTTCTTTACATATTATAAAATTTAATTCAGCATACAAAATATTGGGTAAAAATATCTTCATTCTGCTTGAGGTTGTGATTTGCTACTATCTTAGAAGATAGACAGTGGCTGGTCCTTCAGATGTTCTTGGACTCCAGTTCCCATAATTCCTCATCAATGCTCACAGGGTTAGGGCTGCTGGGAGCTGAAGTTAAGAACATCAGGAGCCCCACCCGTTGCCTACTGTGTTTAGGTAGTGGTCAATCACACGTGGATTGCTATAGTCTCTAGTCATTCTTCTTCTAGCATAAGCATCATGCTATGTACCCCAGTCCTGAAGGAGATAATACATCTTTTTTGGCTACAGAAAAAAAGGAGAAAGTATCATAAAATGTCATTATAGTAAGATGGTAAGTAAGTAAATTAAAAAAAACAAAACATTTTTCTCAGTCTCCGTGTTCTGAAACTCGCACAGTGTTTGTCTAGAAATTTTCTTTCTGTGGCAAGATGGAAAAGGACTACGATTCACATATAATAGAATGAATGTAGCAATGCTCTGACAAGTCCAATTTACATTGTATGTTGCCTTCATAGATTAGAAAAAAAAAAAAAAGAACAGCTTGGCAAGCCTATTATTACATTTGAGAAATCATTAGTCCCAAAGGAGTAATAACAGTACACTATTAACATTCTGAGTACATTTTTCGGCTTCAGTGTTGTTAAAAAAACATTATAAATATGCAAATTTCAGATCAACAAATCCAAAATAAAATGCACTGAAAATACTGATATGTAGACAAAAGTTTATTTACACCATACAACATTTTAAATATTTTATACACAGCTGCAGCAGGAAAAGCTATTCCGAGCTTCCCAGAGAAAACTGCAATAATAAAGATGTGAAATATATTATTCATATAAAAGTGAGATTATTACTTTATTGCATTTAAAGCAATGAAGAATGTAGCTCAACAGACATTCATTTAATGACAACAAAACTTTGCTTTCCTCTGCTTCCTCTTCTTCTTCCTCTTCTTCTTTTGCTTCTTCTTCCTTCTCCTCCTCCTCCTCTTCTTCTTTTTTTTATATTATAAAGTAAAAAGTGTAGTAATGGCCAAACAGACTGTTATAAACTTTAAAAACTGCATAAATATATACATTGTGCTTCATGGTGAAGTTTTTTGAAAACTAAACCAAATGAAGCTGTTACAACATGAACCGTTGTCTGAGGTTTATCTATAAAGATTGACCTTACAAATCCATTCCACGGGTACTTACAAGACACGATGGTAAGAATTGTACACCTTGGGGCCTCCACTAGGTTGGCTAGTGGAAATCGATTGTGTGACAAGAAAACCCACTGACTTCTGGCCCAGGAAGGTGCTGATATGCCTTAGCCATGGTGTCCAAACAGGCTGGGTCAGGCTTTCCAACGTCTCTGGAACGTCAGTGCAAACAAAATGATTCTAGGATAAGCTTTGCGCCTCAGTTTATTTCACCTGTCATTAAACCTCGGTTTGAAAATCACCTTCTTGTACGTCTAAAGGCAAGTTCAGACATTTTTCCCATTCTGCTGGTCTTAGTTCTAAAGCATCTTTTGCTTCTGAATCTAATACGTTGATGGTGGTATAATGTTGGTAATCGCTTGGGGTTTTGAAACTGTCCCAGGGACTCTTGCTGCTTCCTGCTGGATTTTCCTGTGAAAATTGGGAGATTTAGGATGGGGGGGGGGGGAAGAGAGAGAATGATTAAAAAGAATATAAAAATAACATTTCCTTTTCTGTTTTAGCTTATTCAAGAAATCACATGGGGAAATCAGTCATCAGAAGATAAGCCGATTTATCTCTGTTTGGCATAAGAGAAGGTATTATCATTGAAGGGAGTCAGCCTGGCCTATATTCAGTGTCCATTCTCTCATCCCATTCCACGGGGAGGTCACTGATACACTGGAAGGTTTGCCAAGAAAGCTGCCAAATGAATTCCCAGCACTGAACTGAAAACTGAGCAAATTAAGAGTTCACCGACCATCCCTGGCAGCTGTATGTTCAATTGACATTTCTTGGAAAAGGGGGCGGTCATGACAGACAAGAAGTGATTGAAGATTGTTATGAAGTTACAGATTTCATGCTTTGCTGTGAACCGAAGTTGATAGTGGTTTGGAAGCCCCTACAGGAAAAAGTAGCATAGCTTCCTTTCTATGGATGGTTATATGTGAAGAATTGGCTTTGGATCATAAGCTTAAGGGATGCAAATGATATCTATATTTTTATCACTTTGCACAAATTATCCCTTTAAGAAAATCCCAATACACATACAATCTCATGTGGGAACACATATATAAGGAGAGAGAAACTGAAATTTTCCTACTCCTTTTACACCAGGGAATTTTATTTTGTCCTAATTCTTTGGAACACTTCTTTTAAATCTTTTGTTCACATATAGAAAAGGACATTTTTTCCAAACAGGACACCAGTGGCAGGGAATAGTAAGGCAACAAAGATCCCTATTGCATGCACTACGGTTCCAATATAGATGAAATGACCACCCAGTTTGACTAAAAAACGTAAGCTAATTTAATCATTGCTTTTTTTAAACATACAAAACCCCCGCAAGTCACTATAGTCTCGCAGGTCTTAGAGACTCTTATTTTCCTTTACAATTTTGGACACAAAGCAAAAATGCTTGCTTTGTTCATAGTACAAGCGTACCAAAAATTCATGATGATGCTAGATATTCTTGCTAGTTGCCCTAGAGTTATAAAATACAGTTTATTAAAGTCGATTCCTCCTTGATTTATGCTGCTTCTCACTGCCTGGATTGGCCTAATATAGAAGCAGGAAGATCAGGCTGATGAGTAATCCTTTAAAAAAAATTCTACCAGAGAAATGAGTTTGCCCCCATAAGCTCTCATGGAATTTTTTTTTTTTAAATCCTATATTGTTTTCTGTTCAGCTTTGAATGTGCTCACACTGTGTATTACTAGATAAACTGCCCGACAGAAGAAAAGATTGACAACCTTCTTTAATGAAGGAACAGTGATGCAAAACAGGAAAGCTCTTAATGCGGAGAAGGTCTTACGTCAGATAAAAGCAGAAATGGGCCTCTATAATCCTAAGGATTGTTTTAATTAACATGGAATCTGTTTCTAATTTACACCAAAGCTAATAAATCACTTGCTAACAATCTTTTAAGAGAGGCTCAATCTTAAAACACTGGAGTTTCATTTTAATATGGTGCTGAAGGCACTTAGCACCCTAACTCCTCTTAAATTTGCAGCCTTCTGTACAGAATACAAAAAATGTAGATTTACTTAAAATTGTGTTTATTTCAATTGTACATTATAACAGTAAATTGCTTTATGAATGAAAATTATCAAAAAAAGTTCAATTGTTTTGTTTTTGCTAATATTATATAAGAACAATACTCATCCTAACTATTAAATTGCAATAACTTATATTGGCGGTATTTTTATTTTATTTATTTTTGCATTTGATTGTCAAAGTTTTAGGCTGTCTTTATATTTGAATTTGCCAAAGTAAGAGGGACAGATCCTTAGGGCATATACAAAGAACCAGTTTCATCTGCTGTCTTCCAGAGGGCACAGACTGTGTTGACATACATTTGCTCTGCCCTCTATAGTTAATCCTAGGCCTGCCTCATTAGTGAATGAGGCATTGTATCTGGTGTTATCCTAGTAAATGACTGTGGAGGTAGTTAAGGTGCTAAATGGGTCTCCTTGCTGGTGGGCAAAGCATCCATCAATTGTTCTCCCTAATCTTGGGAGCAGAGACAGTGCTGGAAGAAGAATGGTGAGTTTAGTCATCTGACAGAAGTTGATCTCATCTGGAGGAGTAGTCCCAGTAAACCAGAGGAGGTTTTATCGTATGACATGACATGTGACGTGACACCAGTGGTGGGATTCAAGTAATTTAACAACCGGTTCTCTGCCCTAATGATTTCTTCTAACAACCAGTTTGCCAAACGGCTCAGAAAGTTAACAACCAGTTCTCCCGAAGTGGTGCGAACTGGCTGAATCCCACCACTGTGTGACACCCAGAAAAATACGGCATACTTCACTTAATCCTCCAAGGAAATTAAAGGCAAACAAGGTTCAGGCAGAAGAAGAACATCATGGCTTCAATATCTAAGGGACTGGTTTGGACAAAACTCAACAGGACTTTTTCGTGCGACTATTGATAAAAATAGGATCACCCATATGATTGCCAACGTTCGATGTCAGATATGGCACAAAAAGAAGATGGCATGTCTCATACGTGGACTGGCAATATATACATTAACATTTCACTTTGATTAGTAAAACACAATGAAATATAAATGTTAAAAAGATCTACGTTCAAATGCCAATGTTTAGGCCGTAACTTTGTACGCAGGGAATCCCACAGATCCCTGGCATCGTTTGTTGGCATTTATGTCTGTAGGTTGTTTATGAAAATGGCAGTTGCACTAAGTGAAGTGGAAGAAACCTCTGCTTTAGTCAGCATCTCCACTGTGCATCCTGTGTTGCCGTGCCATATTAGGATATATTAGAGTATTGCCATGCTATATTGTGGGAATTAGGAACCCTGTGACAAGTATAGTGCCACATGCCACTATACCATAACCTATCATCTCTCTCTCTCTCTCTCCTCCCTCTCCCCCCCCTCCCACACAATCTATCCATCATCTATATATCACATTAAATGACAAAAAGCAACATATCAAAAAGTGAATAAGGGTTTTTAAAAATCTGAAAGATTTAAAAGAACTAAGAATGCCACTTCTGAGAAGATTCTATCAATGTATCTCTAAAGCAGGGATACTAAGAAAGTTTCTAAAGATGATAATGTAAAGGATGGTTGTTTCTTTATGGAAGAACACTTCTATTTCAATTAATTATGACATATGGAGCTAACTACCAACTATTTGAGTTCTGCTTGGAAATTGACTGGAAGCCAACAAAATCTGTTTATTTTTGGTAAAAGTAGATGGCATATTTAAGCAACAATTTAAGATTAAAATTTAAATTTTAAGCTACCTAAAATTTCCAATCAGTTTTCAAACACCATTATATGTATAGTCATAATGCTAGATGTCATAATTAATGCTAGATGTCACCAAAGCAAAACTATGAACATTAGAATCTAATATTCGTAGTATTATTCAAGAATTAGAATAAGTGCCACATGCCACTATACCATAACCTATCATCTCTCTCTCTCTCTCTCTCCCTCCCCCCTCTCTCCCACACAATCTATCCATCATCTATATATCACATTAAATGACAAAAAGCAACATATCAAAAAGTGAATAAGGGTTTTTAAAAATCTGAAAGATTTAAAAGAACTAAGAATGCCACTTCTGAGAAGATTCTATCAATGTATCTCTAAAGCAGGGATACTAAGAAAGTTTCTAAAGATGATAATGTAAAGGATGGTTGTTTCTTTATGGAAGAACACTTCTATTTCAATTAATTATGACATATGGAGCTAACTACCAACTATTTGAGTTCTGCTTGGAAATTGACTGGAAGCCAACAAAATCTGTTTATTTTGGTAAAAGTAGATGGCATATTTAAGCAAAATTTAAGATTAAAATTTAAATTTTAAGCTACCTAAAATTTCCAATCAGTTTTCAAACACCATTATATGTATAGTTCATAATGCTAGATGTCATAATTAATGCTAGATGTCACCAAAGCAAAACTATGAACATTAGAATCTAATATTCGTAGTATTATTCAAGAATTAGAATATTCAAGAATCAAGAATATTAGAAGAATTGTGGAAAGTGGATATTGGGACATCTCCTTTATAAAAAGTATTTATATGAGTATCTGATAAGCAATGAATTTCAATGATGTTTTCTAAATCTGCCCTTATCACTAGCAGCTGAGCTTTATGAGTAATATTCCACTTCTTGGATACTTTTATTAACTTACATTAAGTAATATACACATTTTTGAATAATTATCTTAAATTTATGGTGTTGTCCCCCATCCCAACAGTTCTAAAAAATATGGCTTTCTTACATAAGTGGAAGTTAAAATTATATATTCCATACTTACCATACTTCCTGATTTTGGTACATCTCTAAATCTGTCTAGTGTCTGAAATTTCTGATTTAATTCTTGAAACAGTTCCATGTGTCTCTTCCTCGTATGCATGACCTTCTGCAAAATGGAATATAATTGCTTAGTATTTATAATGAGCATATTTTTTTTTTCAAACAACCATTATTTCCTCCAACATAACAAAGCAAATTGAATTTGGCCAAGATGTGGAGATGAAACAGGCCATGTCATATATTTGATCTGCTGTTGGAATTGGAGGGCTGTTTCTCCCTTGCACATTCTGGAATTCCTGAAAAACAGTGCTGGCTTATTTTGTGTTTCTGAAGATGCATCATCACAAGAAGCTAAGTACCACTACGAATGATCTTCTTTGCTTGACACTTAAAATTAGTTTTAAAGAAATTTTTCTGGAAGAAGGCCCATATTGAGAACTTGGAAAATCCAATAGTTGTAAATATTCCTGATCAGCAAAATATTGTGAGACCAGTGACAAGGAGGACTATAGGTCACCCTCAACTTATAACAGTTCATTTAGTGACTATTCAAAGTTACAATGGCTCTGAAAAAAGTGACTTCTGACCATTTCTCACCTTTATGACCATTGCAGCATCCCCATGGCCACCTGATCAAAATTCAAATGCTTGGCAGGGTCACATGATTCCCTCTGGAGACCTTCTGACAAGCAAAGTCAACGGAGAAGCCAGATTCACTCCACGGCCGTGTACCTAACTTAAAAACTGTAGTGATCCACTTAACAATGTTGTCAAGAAAGGCCATCAATTGGGGTAAAACTCACTTAACAACTGGCTCTCTTAGCAGTCGAGCTCAGTTGTGGTCGTAAGTTGAGGGCTACCTGTATATTGAACAGGGAGATTTTTAGCTAACAGCAAGGAGAGAATTCTCCATCTGTTATCACAATTCTAACACCATGGAAACCACAAAGGAAACAACTCATCCTACGAATGGATTCCTCCCACTCCTGGCCCTGGTTTCCTAGAAACAAGGCAAGGGGACAGTCTCTCCTGGCTCTCCTACAGCACTAGAGGTTCTGCTTTGAAAGAGAGGGATAGCAGAAAATCTTCATTTTGGACTTACTCTAGGGACAGGCAGAACAGCAATGGGATTATTCTCCAGCGATCTCTTTCTCAATAATCACTGGCAACCCCACCCCCACAAATTCTCATTACTCAGAAGTGGGATGCACACAGGGGTAAAATTCACTTAGCTTCCCTACCGGTTCGCAAATGTGTGTGCACTGTCGTCTGTGCATGCACAGAGGCTTAAAATGTCACAAAAAAGTGACATCATGATGTCCGCGTGGGTGGGCGGAGTCTCCCGCGGCTGCTGCTACCAGTTTGCCTGAGCCAGATAGAACCGGTTGAATTTCACTCCTGGATGCACACCTATAACACCTGTATAGGGTATGGCTTATGCATCTGCATTTTGGTAAGGTCATAATCAAATTATGAGCGATGCTTCTGATTCAAATAGCAAAGGAGGAGGGTTATCAGAACAATACATTTCAGCATTATAGTCCTAAATTTTTCATGCTGAAGGAAGTGTCATATTATTTCATGATGCGGGCACGAGGACACAGGAAGCATTTACGAACCAATTAACCTCACTAGGATTGTGAGATGCTTCTTGAAGGGCAGAATATGTAGCGGAGAAAGCTGACCTAAATTTATGGAGATCTCACTCAAGTGACCTTCTGGAGATTTGCAAAAATAGCCATTTTAAAACTTCTCAGGAGCATACTCAGCTCTACAGATATGCATGCAGATATATGTGCATGTGTTGTTGTTTTTTAATTTCACTTTCAAAATGATTGTCTGCTAAATATACCTCGTGGTAAGAAATGGCGTTGAAAGAAACTTAGCAAAGGAGTGCAAACACAGATAATAAAATGTGGGACATGTTTTGTCATTTTATACATGCTTCTTAGAATAGAAATGTCACTTACATTTCGCGATAAAGAGGACTAAAATTATGACATCTAAGGTGGCTTCAAGCTTAAAGACATACAAGATGTGGTGATTCCATATGACAACAGTCACTTTTTTTAGAATTAAATTTTGTTTAGTTTGGGATACAATGGGCATCATTGAGAGCATCATGTATGCAATGGTGCCTGAAGGCATCATGTTGACAATCTCTGGTTTATGTGGTGATCCTTATAAGCTTTTGGTCTATTTAAAGGAGATCCACAAGGGAAAGAGTTTTGAATCAAAATACAACAGTATACAAGGAGCTTCTATCTTTAAGATATCTGTATGCCTGGCTACCTTTAGCACAGAGGTCTGAAAAGGGTTATTTGGCCAGATAAGCTTACAATTTGTGATTGGGAACAAATTTGCTACTGACTATTCAGTTCTTAGTACTGCATCTCTAAGACAATTTTAAGTCTACACTTAATTTTACTGAAAAACAATTATTTAGCTACTTAATCAATTGCATTTCATAATTATTTATTATTGATTTTGAAGGAAGCTAAGTGAGTTTATAAGTGGAGGATATATTTGGCATAAATCAAATGGATTAGGGCTACATTCATATAAACTAAACCATGGTTAAACCATGGGTTAAAATAAACGAGTAGCTTGTGTTTTCAGATTGTGAAGGGAATTGAAAATGTTTAATTGCATTAAATATATTTTAACATTACACCACTATTTCTGAATATTTCCACATCAAAATGGTGAGAAGCTGAGTCCTCATTTGTTACCAATGGTAGTTAAATGTCAGTTCTAAAGTTTCAAGAAATGCCTCAGGTCCTGCTTTGTTCTTGATTTGTTTACCTCTAGTATATAAGTATTGTGCAAAAGTGTTAGGCAGTTGTGCAAAAAATACTATAAATTAAGAATACTTTCAGAAATAGAAGTGTTAATAGTTTATTTTTTATCAATTAACAAAATGGAAAATAAGTGAACAGAATAGAAATCCAAATCTGAACTTGCACCTGAACGCTCCTTGCCCTTTATGCTGAAGATACTTCTTAATGACATTGGCTGTGTGTTTGGGGCCATTGTCCTGCTGCATAATCAATTTAAGGCCAATCACACACCTCCCTGATGGTATGGTATGATGGACAAGTATCTTCCTGTATTTCTTCCTGTACAGCATTTTGGCACAACTGTCATTTTTGCACAGTACTGTATGTATGCTTGTAAATCATAATGGCGGAATCCCCATAATGCTAAGCCAAATTAGGCATGTTATGTTGTTGTTTAGCACTATATGTGAACTCAAATTACAAATCCAAAATATACAATACTCTCAGATCAGATAGGGTGGGGACACTCCTAGTCCCTTCCCCTAAATATTGTCACCTGACGGGAACTAGGGAGTGTGCCTTTCCTGTGGCAAACTTTGCCCTATGTATCCTTCTGTTCCCCTGAAGTTTCAGCAGGCCTCTACCCTTCTAGCCTTCTGCAAAGCTTTGAAGATGTGGCTTTTCCCTCATGTGCTGGGATAAAATGAGGCCAGTGGTGGGTTTTTACCGGTTTGCCCCAGTTCGGGCGAACCGGTAGTGGCAGCGGCAGGAGGCTTCGCCCACCCACCTGGACACCATCACAAATGCTCTGTGCAAGCATAAAAGCGCTGCCCGCGCGCTCACAGTTCCAAACTGGTAGTGAAGGTAAGTGGTACCCCTACTGGATGAGGCTGATGAGGAGGCTTAACAAGGATTTGGAAATTTAACTTCAGCGACAGGTTTTTAACATTTAGGGTTTAAATAGATTTATGTTTGGCGGTTTTTACTGATGTTGTCTTCATTGACTTAATGACTGTTGTTATATTTATAATTGTTTCAATATCTCCATGTTTTATTGCATTGTAAGCTGCCTAAAGTCACCTTGAATTGTGAAATGGGCCTCATATAAATTTGGTAAAAGAAATTGTTGATTGGGAGTCTCCCAGAGTTCAATATAAGATGAACACACATGCATACATACATACATATGCATACTGTATACTGTGTGTATGTATATGTATAACTAGTGGCGGGATTTAAATAATTTAACAACCGGTTCTCTGCCCTAATGACCAGCTGGGTAGGCATGGCGCGGTGGTCATGTGACTGTGTGGGTGTGGCCAACTCAACGTCACTCGTGTTGATGGGCACTTCACCTTAGTTGTTACAATGTAATAAGGGTTAACCAGGGAGGCAGTTTCTGTAAGCAGGGCAATAAAGATTAGGCTAGAAACAACACCAGAATGTGTCCTTCCTGCCTTCCTTACAGGATTAGCCCTGTAAAGTGGAAAAAAACAAAAGGAGATGTCTTCCAACAACCGGTTCTCCGAACTGCTTAGAAAGTTAACAATCGGTTCTCCCAAATAGGTGCGAACTGGCTGAATCCCACCACTGTGTATAACTGACTCTTAAAATGTGGAAAAGGCCACATTTTAAGGTTGTTCCAAGCATGACCAGATGTATTTCGGAGCGAATGGCATTCCAAAGGGCATATGCTGAGATAGAGAAGGCATCTCTCTCTCTTCCTCCCTCTTTCAAAATTCAAAATAATATACAGGAAGTTTCTTGTTTGACAAACTTGGTTATTTGGCCAATTGGCTCTTCTACTTGATAGAGATACCTGCGTTCATGCTGAGCACATGGTAGATGTGGGATTTTGACAGATACTGTATGTGAAATACATGTGATATACGTATGCTCTATATTTAAACACCAAATTCTACAGCAGCAGAAACCGGTAAAACTTGGTGAAATATCCAGACTTTGGCTGAGAAGTAGAATACGGGTGAAAGATAAAGGTGAACAGAATGTTTTTACATGTTTTCAGGAGCAGTGGTAAAATCTGCTCTCTTAGAAGAATGTCTTCAAATCAGTTGCCATAGAGAAAAATGCCAAGAAAGAGAACCACATGGAATATCTGACCTTTTAAATGGCACTGTCTGACTCACAAGATTTACTTGATTATGTAATTTTTCCTGATATGCTCAGGGGAAAAAAAAACATTATAATTGCTTTTTTAATACTTGATTTGGTGCTTAATGTCTCATTGTCTTTCTGTTTAGAAAGAAAATCATTTGTGAAGATTGTTAAGTGGATGCCTTCTACTTTGTTTTTCTTTGGGCACAAGAATATATTTTTACAATATATGTAAAAATAGCTTTGTAATTTTTAAATCTTTCAGGTAAAACTTTTCTCCCTCGTCCCCCTCCCCCTTTTTTAAAGATTCGAGTGCATGGATATTGAAGTACGAGTGGGAAGAAGGAGAGGGCTGTTGGATGTGACTGATTATCATTATATAAGAACACATCAGTACTGGAAATCAGAAAACTGGACCAGCAGATGCAATAACACTTTTATTTCCCTGCTTTCCTTCTCCACTTACATCCCAGAATGGTTTTAACTGAACTAGCATTCCCCAGTTATGTTATGAAAACTCCCTTGGGGAGGCTAGTCTTTTAAATGCAGTCTCAAAATATTTCACTTTCTTCTGTGGTAAAGACCAGGAGGGAATCCTCACATCTCTATTTCCTAAAAAACCTTCAGAAGAATGGAGTAATTTATTTATTTCTATTTATTTATTAAATTTATATGCTCGTCAGTGACTCTAATTGTTTTCCTAGTTGTAATGTATGGCTGTGAGAACTGGACCATAAGGAAGGCTGAACGCCAAAGAATTGATGCTTTCAAGTTGTGGAGAAGTTGGAGAAGACTCTTGAGAGTCCTTTGGGCTGCAAGGAAATCAAGTGAGTCATTCCTAAAGGAAATCAACCCTGACTGTTCTTTGGAAGGGCATACTGAAGCTGAGGCTCAAATACTTTGGCCACCAAATGAGAAGAAAGGACTCATTGGAAAAGACCCTGATGTTGGGAAAGATGGAAGACAAAAGGAGAAGGGTACAGCATAGTGTCATCAACACAGTGAACGTGAATTTGGGCAAACTCTAGGAGACAGTGGTGAACGGGAGTTTGGTCTAGTAGTTAAGGTGCCAGGCTAGATACCAGGAGACTGTGAGTTCTAGTTCTTCCTTAGGCATGAAAAATAGCTGGGTGACACTCTCTCTCTCTCAGCGTACCTCACCTCACAGGGTTGTTATGGAGAAAATTGGAGGAGGAAGGAATATTATGTACATTTGCTGCCTTTATTTAGTTATAAAAATAATAAAGGTAGGATAAAATAATCTAAAAATTAATGAACTAATTAAACATTTCACATCTGAACTATTGGTTTTGCATGCCAGAAGATGTTCACACCGAAAAGGTGATCCAAGCTAGTTAAAATGTTTGATAGATTTACAGTGCATTTTTAAAAATCACCTAATAAAATGTCTTCCCTTAACTTACTTCTCATGTAAGTTTTTAATAGTGCAATTATTAAAATACTATATCTTTTTAATAAAGGTGTGTTTTTTTAAAAAATACAGTTCATTACGAGATAAATGATAATGATCAACTAAATTATTTTCTCAATTGCAGGAATATTTGTGTGTAGTATTATCGTCTATTATGTACTGCTGTCTGTTTATTCACATTAATATGAATGATTTTTCTGGTCTTAATGAGTATAAATGATGATAAAGTGGTCCTAAGAGTACGTTGAATATGCAAGCTTTCAGTTTCACATAATTAATTATACCAGATTGTTCCGGTTAGCATGAACAGGAAGTGTCAGGCACAAAAAAAGATTCCACACATTCTATATATTTAGATCAACTGAAGAAGAATACTCTGTTCTGAATAAATACACATGCTTCTCAGTCCTAAATCTTTATCTTAAGACTAACATCTAAAGAAACCAATGGCAATTATTTTTAAGTGACAGAATGAAGTTGTTAGGTGCTAACAACTTCTTTACATTTTGCTGATCAGGTACATCAATCTTTCACAATGAGAAAGTGTGTTTAGGTCTGAAAGATTTGTTCAGCTAAGTTTCAATTCTGCATAAACTAAGCAAAATCAATCATATGCATTTAGAAACATCTACGGTAAGGGTAAAGGTTCCTCCGCACATGCGTGCTAGTCATTCTTGACTCTAAGGGGCAGTGCTCATCTCCATTTCTAAGCTGAAGAGTCAGCGCTGTCCGAAGATGTCTCCGTGGCATGACTAAATGCCGAAGGCGCACGGAGCGCTGTTACCTTACAAGCAAAGTGGTCCTTATTTTTCTACTTGCATTTTTTACGTGCTTTCTAACTGCTAGGTTGGTAGAAGCTGGACAAGTAACGGGAGCTCACTCCGTTACGCAGTGCTAGGGATTCAAACTGCTGAATGCCGACCTTCTAATCGACAAGCTCAACATCTTACCCACTGAGTTTCCCTTACAAACTTATAGCACTACAATAATTAAAATTGACCTGAGAAATTGAAAACTCCCAAAACTTAAAAATACTAAAAGAGCAACTATATAGAACACCATAACTTAGTGACTCAATATTTAATCAGCTTATAACTGTTTGAGTTTAATAGAGGACACTTGGTTAATGAATAAGACTTTAGGTCCAATCCTAACCATTCCATGAATAATTTCATCTGAGCAATTTCAGAGAATTCTCCTCAAATATATTTGGAGATAGCAGTACTCCATGTACACGCTTCTCACAAGTGCTTCTCTTATACATAGCAACATTCTGAAAAGTGGTGCCTTCTGGGTCCTTATATACCTATCATGGGTCAGTGGGAAGGGATTCAGTCTGAATTGTGAAAAATATAGAAATATATGATAATACTTGATCTTTACCCTTTTAAGCGATTGCTTGTAAATTAACTTGACTTCTAATTACATGGAAGGAAAGGAATTATTATATATTTATATTCATATGTTTAAATAGGTGGACCATGGACCAATTTAAAAATCCATGGTCCAACCCCTCCCCCAAGGATTTTGTCAATAAGATGGGAGTCCCAAATTAATATATACAAGGAGGCAATCTTTGTAGGAATAAAATGATATGAAATGGGCTAAGGAGGTAGAGTTGTGATAATATCAAAACAAAAGGAAACAAACAGAAGGGTTTTTTTTAAAAAAGATTATCATCTAAAAGAATGAATAGCCTAAAAAGAAAGGTTGTACAGATTTTTTAAAAACACACACAACAGAATGTTTTCCCTTATAATTAAAAGCATTTATTATTGTTTGTAAATGCTGAATTAAAATATGTTTAAACAAATATCTCACATTCATCATACTTTGAATCAAATGCATACTGGCTGAATATAAGTAGTATAGAGACACTTACTTCAAAGTCGAGGTCAGAATAACGTGATTTTCTCCTCTGTTAAATGTTGGTTGAAAACAAAACAAACAAAATCACATATTAATTTAACTGAGCATCAATACAATAACAATGCTGCATTTGTTTTGGATAATACTTATTTATTGACTTACTTAATGGAACTTCTATGCTATTCTAAACGAGCAGGACACTGCCCAGTTTTTGATGGAATATTTGAACTGGATATAGGTTTTTATCATATTTAAGATAGATCTACTAGGCAAGGGAACAATGATTTGCAAATCCTAAAGTGGGTCACCTCTAAATATGATTAAAGCTCGATCTAATCCAGTATCTGGTGGAATTACTTTAATATCACTTCAACATATTACTTCATAAAACTCTAATTGCCCATTACGCTAACCAAAAAAAAACCCTATTTCCTTAATATTACCATTTAAACTTGTGCAAAGGAATTAACTAGGTTTACTTGACAGTTTTTTCCCCTCAACCACCTTTTAGCCTTTATTGTCCCATTAAGATGAAGTTCTTCATAAATCTGAGTTTTTCAAATACTGAAACTTGCTTTCAGCTCATTTTAAAAGAAATAGAATATATGAGAACAACCTAAAACAGACCAGATTGTTTCATAATACCAAAACTTCCTTCTTTCCTTTCAAACTTCATCAAGAGAATGCAAGAATTTACTTTCGACCTTCTAATTTTCATTTTGGTGGTTTAGCATCAGAGGTGGGCTGTTACCGGTTCACACCGCTTCTCCCGAATTGAATCTTAATTTTCTGAGCAGTTCCGAGAACTGGTTGTTGGAAGAAATATTTTCCCACTTTAGAGGGCTAATCCTGCAAGGGAGGCAGGAAACATTCTGGTATGCCTGTATTTCTAGCCTAATCCTTATCTTAATTGACCTGCTGCTTCAGAAACTGCCTCTGGGTTAAGCTTGTTACATTATAAGCCTTATGCCTAAATTTTCTGTCTGTAGACTGAGCTTCTCCAGAGTCCCCCCCCCCCCAGAGTTTTTTGTGGTACTTTTATTCCTGGGGCTTGACTTTCTTAAACATTGTTAAAGGGTCGTTTTTAAGCTTTTTGGAGTATACTTCCAACACGTCTGGAACAGCTATTGACACAAGGGTTGGCACAACCATAGAAAAAATGGCTGAGAGGCGGATGCAAGCTTGGCATTCTGTCTGATTTTTTACCTTTCTGGGGGCATGTGATCTTTCCTTAAATCTGGATGATTACCTAAGGATATCTTGTGAGGTGAGTGAGACCAGCTGGTATCTTTAAGTGGTACAAATGGATCTAATGATTGCTTCTCCTGGGTGGGAAACTCTGCTTTGTCAGTTCACTGAGCACAGGAGTCTCTTGTCTATGGGGATTCTTCAGTTATCCAGGTCATGGTTGTCCCAAAGGTGCTTTTTTCAAGGGGCAACTGTACTTTCCTGATTTCCAGAAAGTCCAGTTGCCTCTTGAAAAAGCACCTTTGGGACAGGAATCTTTTGCATTGCTTCGGACTGGGCAAGGCACATGATTGCTCACTGATAATAAGTGGATCCTCCTTCCAATTTGTTTTAGTTTTCTCTCATGATAATATGGCATAGTAACATGGCACCAATTGTACAAAGTTAGCACCCACCTATCTCCTAGAACAGTGGTAGGCAAACTTGGCTCTTTCACACCCTGTGGACTTCAACTCCCAGAATTCCTAAGATGGCTGTTTTAGGAATTCTGGGAGTTGAAGTCCACACGGTGTGAAAGAGCCAAGTTTGCCTACCACTGTCCTAGAAGAATGAAATATTTTGAGAAATATTAAAAAGGAAGAATATATTTCCCTGAATGAGAAATGGAAAAACATGTTTTCTTAGAGGCCCCCACCTTCCTTAATAACCCACAGAAGATGTTAGCACCTAAGAGATAAATAGATAGATAGCTATATTCATAGGCAAAAATTCCCCTGCAGCAAGGTTTGAACAAAGGCAGAATGGGATTAGCCCTCACTCAAGATGTTCATTTGTTAATTTGTCTCTTTAGCTTGGCATTTTGTAACCCAAATATGCCCACTCACTTTCTGGAAAGCTTAAATGACCTCTCTGCTAAAGGGTTTCACTTTATGAGCAAGAGAAACTTGGCTGCTGATAGTTATCCTTGTATTTTAACTATTTTAATTCCTCAATGTGCTCTGGCAACCTGCCTGATTTGTAACTCGGGGTTGCAGATATTGAGGAAAAGGAAGGTATTCAGACCAAATGGTTTAGGTTTCCATGATGGCTGTGACTCATTGATCTTCAGTGTCTATTCCCCCATTTCTAATATAATGACTAGTATTTAGGGCAGCTTTTTGCAAGCAAAGAAGCTTTTTGTATTTTTGTACAGGTAATCCTTGACTTACAACAGTTCTTTTAGTGATCATTCAAAGTTACAAGGGCACTGAAAAAAGTGACTTATGACCGTTTTTCACACTTATGACTGTTGCAGCATCCCCATGGTCATGAGAGGGCGGGCAAGGCCAAGTGCCCCTCGACGTAAGTGACATCGAGTTGGCCATGCCCACCCAGACAGTCATTAGGGCAGAGAACCAGTTGTTAAAAAATTTGCAGCCAACCACTGTTTAGCATGCATCAAAAGAAGAGGTGAAAGATTGGCTGGAGAAAAGAAATAAGATGGCCAACAGCTAATTGAATTTGGTCTTTTAAATCTACAGTGTTGTGTGGCCATAATTGTTGCCTTGATAAGCTTTCACAGAATCAAAAATAGAAGGATGTGATCTGCTAAATGTTGCATTTTGGGCAATCGAGCACAAAGTGGTCCAATTCCATTTTGCATTTTTCCAGCAGGCTCACTTAATAACTAAAGAAACTTCATTTGTATGGCCAGAATAGGGCAATGAAATTTCATTGCCATCTGTGTAAGCTCTGTAGAGTAAAAATACACATTCAGTACTCACTTCATTCAAGTGGCAATATATTTAGATAGAGGGCGTAAGTGAGATGGGCCTATGGGGAATGCCATTTTTTTTGGCACTGTGACTTAGGAAAAAAGTCTGTAAATGCATTTCAGATGGAAACCTAACACAACATGACATACATCCATTCAACTCTGCCTTAAACCAAAGATGTGCACATTTACTTTTCTTTTTTCAAAGCTGTACGCTTTGAGTCAAGACTATTCTCCAAAGGATAGGTAAGGAAAAAAACTGAAATTAATACTCAAACATCAATTGCCACAAAATTCTGGATAAATTATTTCTACAACTACTATTATTCTCAACCACCAAATAGTAGTCCAATACATCTGGAAGTCACCTGATTGGATGATGTGGCTTTTATTTGCAAAACCAAAAAGCCTTTTCCCAGACATATGTTTTGTATTGCAAATAAATTGCTAGCCCTTTGAAGTAGATCATGTCAGAAAAAAAAGAGATTACTGCACTAGGAGTTTTGGAAGGCACTGCAGGAAGGCATTGCAGTTAGACCAGGGGTGTCAAACTGGTGGCCTGCGGGCCGGATGCGTCATGCGCAGACCATGCCTAGCCCAGCTCCGTGTCAGGAAAAATGTCCAAAATGTCACATGACGGCAATGTGATGCCCCAAGTTTGACACCCATAAGGTAGACTATTATAATAGAATCTTGAAAATCTGTCAATTCTCTCCTCTACTTATGCCCAACAAAATCAAAGTGGTGTGATTTTGAGTTCACACTTCCTACTTTTTCCAGGACACATATTTTTTCTATAATAGTTTGTTATTTCCGTCCTCCTTTTCTGAACCAAATGCACATTCTTTCACACTTGGGGAGAAATAAATCTTGCCTAAAAGCATATAACACTCTTGTGTGTTGAGATGCACACATAAAAAGAGGGCACTGATAAGAAATGGAGGGGAGGGCGAAAGGGAAAAAAATAAATGGCCTCTGATGGAAAGATGTTGCCCTTATGAGGATTGCCAGCATCTCTTTGGTTTTTAACTACAACCAGATTAATGTCATAGGAAGTAAACAAAATTGAACCAAGCTTTAAATACTCCGTCTGTCAAAAGGACAAAGTTGCAACTCATAAAGTTGGCTTCTTTCAACAATGCATTGTTAAAATTAGTCACGAGATGGAATGCTAAACTGTAGTTGACTGACAATAGACATGAAAGTTTCTAACATCTTTGTAACTGGACCAGACAAAGGGAACTGCAGTGAAAGTATACCAAAATGAGGCCTGTTCTGGATACAATGAACTATAATTTACTGTTACATCTGAACAGAGTCAGACAAAGGGAAAATGAGTTTGGTGTAACGATTAAGGTGCTGACCTAGAAACCAGGAGACTGTGAATTCTAGTGTTGCCTTAGGCATGAAAGCTGGCTGGGTGGATTGGGTTGATCCTTCTCTTTCCTTCAACCCACCTCACAGGCTACTCCTCACTAGAGGAGGACAATTTACTTTCTCTCTTTCACTTAAAGTGAGACATATACACATCCTTTGTCACAAGGCTCGTGAATTATGATTTATTTATTATTAAAATTTATTATAGAAAAAGAGAGATCTATCAATACCATTTATGGAATTGCAAGAGACTGATGTTAACTTAATGGATCTGTTTGAAACCTTGATATCTGAAAAGTTACCTATTAAGAACAATAGGAGGAAATCAGGACAAAAGGATACAGGTTGAATGCCAGAGAGTAAAATTGGCTTTTGTGGAACAGATTAATGTGAGAATATTTAATATCTGGCTATTTGGGATAGAGTCCCAAGAGCAAATGTAATGTATTCCCAGACCCAAACAACTGGAAAAAGAGAAATTGATGATCCTTTTCCATTTCTTTAGTTACCCAGATAGTATAACTATGATAAAATTTACATTCAGGAAACAGGTTTGGGAAGGAATCTAAAATGTGAGAAAAAGAAGACTTCAGTGCAGTTAATTTTGCATCAATTCAGCTTGGAACTATTCATAGAGCTTTCTTGGTATAATTCTAGAGCAACTTTGAACTCTGCTCACTGAAGGACAAAAATAGAAGAGCAGAGAAGGATTGTTTTCACACCCCAACCTG